CTTCCCTTCTGGTTTGTCAGCCGCCCTGAGTCCCTCCGGGAATAGGGCGGCATACAAGTCGAATAAACCAACCAACCAGGATGATTTTGGGCAAGAAATTGGCCATGAAAACCAGCACTGACAGATTTTGCATAACATACCAAGAAATCCAGGCACTCTTCTTTTAATCCATAAATCTAGAAACAGCTACTGGTATAATGTACATCTGCGCATAGATGCATGTGTGCTACTATGCTTAAATAGTCCTTGTTGGTTAAAAGGGCATTTTCAGATGATTACCCTTCAGGGAGAAGTATTTGTGCCTTCAGGGTATATTCCTGGAAATGCTGGCAAATAAACAAGATCTTACTTGAAGAAAGCAGAGACTTGTGCAGCTGAGTTCTTGGTTGCTAGGTGGAAAGAAGCAAAATAGCTTCTAGCTGTGATTGATGCCTTTGGGTGGCCCCACGTAAATCCAGAGGAGTTCTCCTTTTGCAATTTGACCCCCCATCTCAATTGATGGGGCTGCCTTCTGTTTCCTTATTGGAAACGGAGCAGTCTTGCGTCAAACAGCTGTGGTGGTGTTTGTGATGTTATTAGATCCTTTGGCATCCCTCGATGCTGTTCCTTTGCCTGGAGTTCAGTTTAATTGTTCTCTCGGTGAAAGCCTGGGGATTCCGAGGGTGCCAATTTTCCCTCCCTTGACTTCAGTGGGTTGAATCTACTTGCTCATTCCATTCTTGCCAAAACTCTTTGGTATGTTGCAAGCACAAGGGATGTTTCCATGAATACTGGCACCACATTTTTAAATTACAATTAAAATTTCTAATTTGAATTACAGAGATGGAAACAATATATTTCCGTAGGTGAGAATAGATGAATGTATGATTTTCCATTGAGCTTAAACATTGTCCTTGATTCATTTGCATTTGCTTTTCCTTTTGAAGGATGTTGTGAAAATATCTTTCATTTTTAAAGAACACTTGTCTCACATAAAAATGTCTATTCATGAGCAAAATATGACCAAATACTGTGCTCAGAGATCACAGTGCTTTTTTTTNCCTAGTCCTTCTTTTCATTAAACTAGACATAACCAGTTCCTGCAACCGTTCTTCATATGTTTTAGCCTCCAGTCCCCTAATCAACTTTGTTGCTCTTCTCTGCACTCTTTCTAGAGTCTCCACATCTTTTTTACATCATGGTGACCAAAACTGGACACAGTATTCCAAGTGTGCCCTTTCTTTATAAAGTGGTATTAACACTTCAAAAAGATTTAGTCTTAAAGTCATGGTATTTGTATGTCAAATTTTCATGTCTGCTATGGTGACTAATTTTTAGGTCTACATATGCTTTCCCAATTTTTAGGTCTACATATGCTGGAGATTATTCTTCTGTTGAATTTAATATTTTGTGGATCTGATAATCTAAACTTGAGGAATTATATAGGATTTTTTAATCATGAACAGACTACACTCCAATTAGCCAGAAACTGAAGAGACAAATCTCAAAGCATTGTGCACTACTAAGTAAAGTTATTCTTTCTTGATATTGAATAGATCCAAATGGTTTCCCCAATATATTTTGGGATAAGTTCTTATCTTGCCTTATGGTGATATCACATAACTCTAGGAAGTTGTGGAATATTGAAGTTGTGGACAATTGAACTTACTCATGTTGTTCTTTCTTTTTTGGTAGTCATAAGTCAGCAATTTGAGCAATATGGAGGCAATGCAGAAGAACAAATAACAAACCACTTAAAAATATTGAGTAGTCCACTTAAGAATAGTTCTTCCTACAGTTATTATATTCCCTCAAAACAGTCACTCCTCAAATTTCTTTAGCAGTGGAAGTGATGCAGTGTCCACTTTTTGAAGACAGCAAATTCCACATTTTGGACAGAGACAACCGCTGATTTTAAAAAGGGGTCAAAGAGGTTGTCTATGTCAAAATTGAACAGCCCTTTCTTGACAGTGTGGGGGGGGGAGGATACAACATTATCTATCTCCAGTCTACCACTTGGTCCTTCCAGCAGTTCCGAGAAAGTTCCACACCCATTTGCACTACTCGTGTGACCCCGAGGACACAGATAACTCCAAGTGGCCTCAACGAGTGTCTAAAAGAATGCAAATGACCAGTTTTCTGCAAGGAACATAAATCCTTCCATTTCCCCACCATCCAGTCAGAGCTGAAGAAGCTTCTTGGATGACAAGGAAAGTCTTCAAAGAAAAAGGGAAGTCCAATTGCCTTTTGGAAAAAAGCATCTTTGCGAAAGTGGGAGTATTTCCTTTCCATTCCTTAGCTTAATACAGTTCAATCAAGAGACCCTCCTATTTTCATTTGAAGCTACATCATATAGCAAAGGATGCATGTTACAGAACCTTGCTTCCATGTGTGTGCAATTCCAAGTTTAATCAGGGAAATATATTTATAAAGCAAAAATAAAATTATAATAACTACACAGTAAGAAATAAGTATATAAGCAATTTAAAAATAATATTTGAATGACTAAACCACTGGATGCCCCAAAGGTGCTTTTTTTAAGAGGCAACTGGACTTTCTGGTTTTTTTCTTTGAAGATGCTTCACTTCTTATCCAAGAAGCTTTTTCAGCTCTGACTGGATGGTGGAGAATGGAAGGATTTATACTCCTTGCAGACAGCTGGTCAGCAGTTCGGCAGTTCAAATCCCTAGTGCCACATAATGGAGTGAGCTCCTGTTACTTGTCCAGCTTCTGCCAACCTAGCAGTTTAAAAGCACATAAAAAATGCAAGTAGAAAAATAGAAACCACCTTTGATGGGAGGGTAACAGTGTCCTGTGCCCTTTTGGCGTTTAGTCATGCCGGCCACATGACCATGGAGACACCTTCGGACAGTGCTGGCTCTATGGCTTTCAAATGGAGATAAGCACTGCCCCCTAGAGTCAGGAATTAGTAGCACATATGTGCAAGGGGAAACTTTACCTTTACCTTTAGGTGTTCTATCAAGACACTAAAATTGTGATGGATAATCAGCTTTCTTGTTTTCCTGCTGCTACTAGTAACTTCTTAATTTGCTTTTCTGTTACAGTCTTTCAGCAAAAGGTGACTAGGACTCATGCTGGTAATGAGAAGCTGTTGAATGCTGTCAGGAAACTAGGTACAGAATTAAATATTTTTGTCAATTTTGCTATTTTTTAAAGTAATTTAAATCTAGTTTAATGGCAATACAAGATTCCTTTCTCTTAATGTGTATAATCAGCCTGGTATATGTCCTGTCCGGCCATATAGAACCTGCCATAATTCAAAGCCAATATGATTAATGTACGTGCTGGATGAGAACTGTGGGGATTTTGCAGTCCTGTCACATCTGGAGAGAACCAGGTCGGATAATGTGGGAATAGAGCATGCAACAGTTAGAAGCACAACTATCTACACAATTATTCACTATTAATTGGTTTCACCAATGCAAATTATTGCACAGTCTTGGGGTATAAATATAGACAAGGCAGACAGGATAGCCACCTTGTGGTTTGCAGACACAGAAGTTTCAAGCCAGCCCTTCTGTCTAAAAATCAAAGTTAGTAACCAGCTGCTGCATTTGCTTAAACGGGATATGGAAGAAATAGCAGACTGAAGGCAAAAAAAAGGTTATATGCTGGGAATCAGGTAGCATATAAATTATCATTATGGTTGGTAACACAGCCAACCAGGTGTTTAGACTTGATCTGGCATTTTTTATTTACCTACCGAGGATCTGGGATAGGCAGATGTTGTTCAATAATATTAACGGTATCATCACAGGTTATAAGCTGTTAGCATCATCATCATCAACATCTAGTGGACAACAATTTCAATGCATACCAACCAAAGTGATTGCTAGATGGAAGCGACAAGACCCAGAAAACCTGGACATTTAGTAGATGTCCAGTTGACTTGAAAGTAAAATTGCAGTGATTTTCTCATTATAATGTTGGAAGAAATGGCCATCTGGGTTCATTTCCAAGTGGGAAGAAAGACGCTGGAAACAATGGTGGCTGTTTGGAAAGATGGTTTTAATGGTGGACAGGATCACATGGTTTGAGGTCCTGGGCAAAAAGGGAAGAGATGCTGAGAGTGCCTAGGTTTTATGCCCTCTCTGGGCTTTTGAACTTGAGCTTGTATTCTGGTTGGTTGTCAGACTCCCATAGGGCCATGCAGGGGTAACTTCGTAAGTTTGTCTGTGTCCCAAGCTTGGTTGAGCCTTGCTGGGTAATGATGGGGCTTCATTAAGAAGGGGCTTTGGGCAGTTTCTCCTATGGCTCTACCTGAAGGAGCTAGATCTTTGTTATGTAGAATAGACTGGCCCGGGCCTTAATGGCCCATTGACAAAGGTGGGGTGCTGAGTTTCTGTCTCTCTTTTAGGGGAAATATTCTGCCCTTTTAATATTTGCTAAAATATCTCACTTTCCTAGGATGGATGTTAACGTCCTACAGTAAACTTCCAACTTCTTACTGACTTCTCGCCTAATATTGGAAAAAGATAGCTTGCAGATTACTCCAAATTCTTAAAATCACCTTTGTAACTTTGCAACTTTAATAAAATTTGTATGCCTCCTCCACCTTCTAAAATTTTCCTGTCCTAACAAAGAAGATACATACATAATTGATTATACTTCTTTACTATTTTATAAGTAGGTGTAATTGCTTGGGGAAATCCCTGGGATAGGAATCATTCAGGATTTGATAGTTCCATACATAAAGTAAATTCAAGAATTTATATTCTGCTGGGTTTACTGTAGAATCCTTCTGGTTAAAAGGGAAGATAATTTTAACCATTTTGGTCTTTCATACATTATATTAATATAATAGTATCTGCTAAAATGTATCTTTTAATATATCTATTGTATTTCCCTGGGTAACTCACCAGAAATAATTTTGAAATTTGGCACTTCTAGGAGACATACAGACATTTGGCAGTTCCAGAAGGCTTATAGACATTTAGAGTTATTAGCGTAAGCTCATTTATTATCATGAATCTCATTATCTGCAGAGAAGGGAGTAGTTCATTTTTTTTTTAGATACCTCCAGATTCCACTTTCTGTTAACAAAATAGCCTAAAAGAATATTCCATAGAATGTGGTTTCTATGTTGTAACAACCCTTGATCTAATTTCTGCTAAATAAATTACATCCATCTGGCTTTCTGGGACCCTAATTTGTCATGCAATTTTAACAAGTTTAAGAAATAAATATATTTGAAACCATGATGGATAAACTATCTGAAATGGCACAGCGTAATTGTGGCTTGATATGTGAAGTCTTCTTCCTAACTGTAGAATCAAGAATACACTTTGTATTTACAACTTAAGCACTATAGTGTCAGCTTGATTTGACCTGTGGGAAGCTTATCTCTTACTTGTCATTTTACGGCCAATAATTTCATGTTTTGAACTCGATTTCACCATTGGATTGGAGCACAGAGTAATTTCATCCAAGATTATTAGATTAATGGCATTGGTTTGTTTGTTAAACAACAGAAGATACCTCTGAATCTTCTATTAACTGATCTTAAAAATCTACATGCAGGTGGTTCACAAGCCTTTATCTGTAAACGAGGAGTTTGTATGGCTTGATGTCTCTTGAAAACGGGGGGCTATATAAATTATTTTCATACAGAGATATTTAATTCATGGACCATTGCCCTAATTTTGATAACTATACCCTGGGAATTAGCTTTAGGAGCTATCATTAAAAAGACATTTTCTTCCTCCCTCCAAAGGTCAGGGTTGATATCATGTACTGTGAAGTATCATATATGGATGCATAATGTAATGTAGCATCTTTCTGTGCTTAAGGAAAAGTGGGTTGTATATATCATTCTGATAGATTCTATGCATCTCTGCCTTCAGTACCACTAAGCATCAGGACATGGATATCCCTTAAACAAGAGTCTCCACCCTTGGCAACTTTAAGCCTGGAGGACTTCAACTTTGCTGGCTAGGGATTTCTGGAAGTTGAAGTCCACCAGGCTTAAAGTTGCCAAGGTTGGAGACCCCTGCCTTAAATCTCATGCCCTGTATCTAGTCATGTAAAGCACAATGGTCCATGAGAACCTCACGGAATGAGACATGGTAATCTACATTTTGATGAGTCCTAATAAGGATAAAATTGGTTGTTGTTGTTTCCTGGTAGTTAGTATTCCTTTTCCTTTCCATCAGCAAGTAGGGTAAATGTCCACTTTACCTACACGGGATGGAATAAGAGGTCTTTTTTTAATGTTGCTGTCAAGTCAATGTTGGCTCCTAATAACTGCTTGCACAAATCTCTGCAGTTTTCTTGGCAAAATTTTGGAAATAGTTTTATATTGGTTCCTTCCTAGGGCAGAGAGTGACTGTCTCAACATCATCCAGATGGCTTTGTATCTGACTATGATGGGTCTAATACTCTTCTGAAAGAGCATTAAACCAATGTCCAAAAATAGCCCAGTTGTCAGCATACAAGAAAGGCATGAAATGAGAGGAAGCATCCATAAAGAGCCAGCCTTATTCCCCGATCATTCTCACAATGGCAGGGCAGTGTGCTTGAGCATTGAGAGATAGCCCAGATAGTCCTGATGGCCAACCTATGCCATGTGTGCCCAAAATGGCATGTGAAGCCATATTGCCCTGGACCCGGGAAGTCTTGCCTGTTTGTCTTCTGGGTTTCTGGCATGCATGCGCGCACGATGATCAGCTGCCCTTCATGCATGCAGCAGTGCCACAATCCGGTGTGCACATGCACACTGACTAGGTGATTATCAGATGTGCATGAGCAACAGAACCAGGAAGGTTGCCTTTTCCGGAACGTGATCCCTTCACACATGCAGCAGTGCCGAAAACTGGTGTGCGCATGTGTGCTGGCCAGCTGATTGTCAGGCCTGCATGTGTGCTAAAACCCAGAAGTTTGACTTTTCCAGAGCATGACCCTGACAAGCAGGCACATGTGCGTGCAATATTTCCACGCAACCTTTTCGGCACTGCACCATCACCATCACTGCCATATAGTATGCAAAATTGTGTAAAAGTGTACAATTATAATTGTACACAATTATAACAAAACCCATAAAAGCCTGCACAACTCTTCATTAGTGAAGCAATGAAAATGTATAGCACACTCTTCAGTGAGAGAACCAATAATGCACATGTGGCAAAATGCACCCCTATTTTCCGATTTAAATTGGTGCTCTGGGCAGCACTGACCCAGAATTTTCTGAAGAATGCACAAGACCTCCAGTTAAAGTCCAGGTGTGGCCTAGCATTTATTCAAAAGAGTCCTGATGTATATAAGAAGCCAATGTAATACCTGGCAAGCCTTAACCACATCATCAGTAAAATGTACTAGATCATGTCCATAGCCAAAATTGTGTCAGAAGAAGAGGAAAACACTTCTTTCAAATTACAACTAAAGACAATTTTAAGCTGTCTCAGCAATGGCCTATGAATGCATCAAGTATATTTTATGCGCAAAAATGGAAGGCTACGATGGACGAATGCCTGCAAAAGTTGATGGAGTTCACAGAGATTACTGAATTGACTGCTTTGATTAAAGAACAGAATACAATTAATTTTGTTTCTACTTGAAAACCGGTTTTTGGTTTTGTGCTTGAGGTAGAAAAATGACTTTTGCTGGCTTGATAGGTTTGTTGCTACAGAAATGGCTAGTATATATTATTATGTAAAAGTAAGAAGTTGAGATTGTATATTATTACCTTATTCTACTGCACCAAAAGGAGTCAGAAGTCAATTCTTTTCTTTTTCTTTTCCATGTTTTCCACATAATTTTTGCTGTTCCCCTTTTCCTTTCCTGTTCTCCCTTTATTTTCATTTTTTTCTTTATATCTCTGTATTTCACACTTCGATAAATTAATAAAATACTTAAACCAATGGCCTGTGGATGAAGACATAACATTAAAAAATGATTACAAAGACATTTATTGGCCAGGAGAGGATGTTCAGAGTAGGCATGTAATGGTATCAGTAAAATCAGTCCTGTCCCTTTAATGTCCTCACAAGTATCTACAAAGTATCCTCACAAGTATTTTACAGACCCCTCACAACCTGGACATAAATTGTTTCAACTCCTACCCTCAAAACAATACTATAGAGCACTGCACATCAAAACAACTAGACACAAGAACAGTATTTTTTCCTGAACCAGTAGTGGTTTGGTGGCCTGGGTCGCTGGAACCAGTAGCAATTTACACCTGTCACACGCCCCGAACAGGTTCTCCTGGCGGCATCATTTTGGTTTTGGCTTCTGCGCATGTGCAGAACAATTTTTATTGAACTGTGCATGCGCATGTAGTGCACATCAAGAACATGAAGCAAGTGTGCAGCACAGCCATGATCAAACCAGCAATAGTGCCTGCTGGAACCCACCCCTGCCCTCAATACTGTCAAACTATTTACTAAGTCTGCATTACTATTACTATTAATCTTCTCATCGTTCCTATCACCCATCTCCTCCCACTTATGATTGCATGACTGTAACTTCATTGCTTGCATCCTTATGATTTATTTTGATTGTTTCCTAGTATGTTTTGATTGTTTATTTGTACCCTATGACTATCATTAAGTGTTGTACCTTATGATTTGTGATGAATATATCTTTTCTTTTATATACACTGAGAGCAGTTGTGGGTTGCAGGTGGTACACCCGGTACAGGCGTACCGGTGCCTGCCAGGAACACTGGGTACTGTTCTGGTACAGTGCTCCAGAGGGCCTGCCCTCCCACCCATCCTCCTTACCTGTATTTGAGCTCTTATGCACTTCCGCGCATGTGCATGGTGCGTACAGCACCTGCACGACACTCTGCTGAGCAGCTGAAATATCGCGGAGGTGTTGCAAGAGGTAAGGACGCATGCACGCACTGCATGTGTTCATGTGGTAGATGCCAGGGCCCATTGCACCGTAACGGTTGCACCAGGATCCGGAACCCACCACTGACTGAGAGCATATGCACCAAAGACAAATTCCTCATGTGTCCAATCACACTTGGCCAATAAAGAATTCTATCCTGTATTCTATTCTAACCACTCCTACTTCAACCACAGAAGAACCTCCAAGTTGGGTTTTTAAAAGCAGGCAGGCTTGCAAAGGAAGGAACTGCTCTTTAGTTGCTCTGAACTTAAGCCATCCAGAGCTCTGAGAACATCTTGGTTTATTCCCCTATATCATTTGCCATGACTCATTTTTGCAACATGCAGACTTGCAGACAATGTTTTATCTTCTCTATAAGGTTGAATATAATTTGGCTTAGAAAAGAAAAAGAACACAGGATTATCTTGGGAAACGTGTGACAGACTTATTATTTGATTGCTGCAGGACATTGTCTTGATAGTGCTGCATTTTCGGAACCAAGCTGCCCACCCCTTAATGTAACATTCTGACTTGTGTTTCATAATTAGCTAATGGCATTGTGCTATCTCTTAACAGGAACTCCAATGACTACTAAATTTAATGAGAGTGACTTAATCAAGGAAATGGCCATGAATCTGAATGGAGATGTAGATTGATCTCCCCCCCCCCCTCTCTCTCTCTCTCTCTCTCTCTCTCTCTCTCTCTCTCTCT